ATTTGTAGTTGATAACATAAAAATTAAATCTGTTTTTTGCTTATTTTGCCAATGAGTTCAATGATTCTGATTCTCGTCAAGGGTTTAGTCTTTCATCATTTTTTAGTGCATTTGACGAAATAGTTTCTCAATTCCAAAACATTTCGTCATACAACAGTTCATGTTCTTGTTTTACAAAGCATAGTAATGATAATAATACTTGTCAAACTTGTAATCACGAAGAAACCTTTCATCAAATGATCATTCAATTTATTCTAATTTAAAAAGTAACATTCACCTTTAACTATGTTGTATGTGAAATTGAAATATTATGGAGTGGGGTGAAATTCTGATTGGCTAATTTGAATTTCACATAATTTCATTCTCACGTTCAACAGCCTGAGAAGAATTTCTCTACGAAAAAAACGAAAAAAAAATATAGGGACGGTTGTCCTATTTGTATTTTTTCGAATTAATAAAATAGACTATTGTCTTGAACTGAGTGATGTCGTTGTGTGAGTAAAAGACACGAAACTCACTGTCACATTTTCGTTTAAAAACTTGTTTTCCTAATAACCATTTCTAAATTAATTTCGAATTTTTGGTATGTCAACACTATTAGTTTTAGTAATTATGAATAATAAATTTAAAACATTGGCTATATTTATTCATAACATTATTACAGTTTCAAACAAATTATCATGTTACAATGGATTTTTGCTTCAATATAAAATTCATTGAAAAGTGATAAGTTGGTATACTTTATTATTTAATTTATTATTTTTTATTTATTATTTTTTATTTGTTATTTGTTAATTTATTTTTCATATTATTAAAAATGGAATGCGTTTTTTAGTTGACATGAAAATTATTAGGTCACTTATCAGAAAAAATTTAAAAAATTTATATAATTAATTATACACATGAAACAACAATAATCACTGGGGAGTTATAAAACTAGATTTAGATACCAAGAAAATTTATTTTGGTGATTCATGATTCACGTATCTTTGCCAGCTTTCTTATCTCTCATTGAAGACATTTATAAAATAAAATACTTTGTTTATTTCTACTTTCTATAACATCTTATAAGCATGTGTTACACGAAATTAAGGCCTTCAAAATGTTTCATGTTATTTACATTACTGGCCTGAAAATGCTCATTCTTCAAGAAAAATACATCAGGAAGTGAATATTTCCTTTCACACTGTTGAACATAATTTCAAAATGCTCAAAGAATGAATACTATTGAACATAAGGGCTGTCTGATCCAAGGTTTTATATACTTTTTTTCAAAAATAATCGGATTTCTTTTATTTTAAGTTGACAAAGTTCTAGAAAATGTAATTTTATATGCGAGAATCTTCAGAACTTAAGCTACAATCTGATATAATTTTTTTGTATAATATTATGTACACTTTTGCATTAGAATAATCATTAAAAAATTTCATGTCAAATTTTTGAAGTCAAAAATTTTTGTGAGGTTTTAAAAAAAAGATGTGAATTAGCTTTACAAAAAATTGGCAATATATATTTTTTTACTCTAAATGAATCTAAACCTATTTGATTATGCTTTGCAATCGTGCAAACCCATCTTTACCTATCTTTCAATATTTGTTGAGATATGCAATTTTTTGTCACCGCCATTATTTTCATTACATACTGTATATAAAAAATTTTCCAACTCACAAATGCAACTGATTGATCAATATAAGGAGCCACATCATTATTTGTATATAATCAATCCTTTTATATAATTATTTTTACGTGTATCTCCAATTGATGGTGTAAGAAATTTAGTCAACCATAATATTATCATGTAGTTATCCACAAAAAATATCCGCAATCGCCAAATCGATTTCTAAATAAGGATAACACGCACCCAACCCACCAATAAAAATTGGATATTAATATTCTGGATATTTTTTGCGGATAACTACACGATTATTTCCTTGCCAGTGTTTTCTTTGTAAATAATTACATGGTGTATTGTTTGTGGACAATTTAGACATGTCAATAACCAGGTTTCCGATTTCTTTACCAACTACAAAAGTGTTTACATAAGACTATCTTAACTTCTGTGATAAAGCACACCCTTAAGACATAAAATTACAATACTTTTATTAATTCACTTTATCTCTTTCTTGTTACTCTTTGTTTAGTTTTCCAATTGTCTTGACTATTTCTAGTGCAATTCCATGTGAGAAGTCGTAGATGTGCAAATTACGAGAAAGCAATTCTTCTGTCAATAGAAGGAAGGATGCGCCATTAATTTTTGGTTGTTCAAGCTTTTTATGCACATTATTTTCTTCAACGAACGATTTGTCCTTCTGCTTCTCCAGATAAGTGATAATATTCTCTATCTTCCAATCTTTAAGGTTAATTGGTAACGAAGACATGATTTTGTAAGTGAGGCTAATTAGATTACTTTTTTCCTTGTTTTTGGGGCTAGTGATTTTTAGGGGAGTTAAGTTAGAATCATATCATTAATTCGTCATTATATTACCCATAAGACGGGGGTGATAATTAATATTACAACAACCAACATTGTTTTCATGTTTATTAGTTAATAATAGATTCTGATGCGGGAAAATTATACCAATTATTTGGGAAAGGGCATTGAAAAGATTATCAGTAAATCATAAAAATCGAGAACAATTGGTTTTAATCTATTGCTCATTTAGTATTTAATTAATATTAGATGATTGATAAAATCAAAATCAAGAGTTGTTCTAAAGAAAGGCTTAACTCTAACTCTAACTCTAATTCTAATTCTAATTTTAACCAGTGTGTAAAATTGAACGGGCGCAATGGGCGCGTGTAACATTATTAACCAATCAAATTTTGAACTTC